CGGAGAATTGCTTTCACTGTCATTTATAATTTATACAGCACTTTCCCTCCGCAGTGCTTACAACTCATTTAAGTGCTTATTTATTATCTCAAATCAACCTATTAATTAGCACTTGGTAGTATGGAGATGGAGAGCCAAGTCGAAAAGGACGTGCCCGCCCATAACTTTGACTGGGTTTCAGAATGCTGTCAAAATGGCAGGCTCCCCCAAAAGCCTTAAGATTTTTTTATTTTTTAAAAAAATCCTAAATACACAAATATCAACTCATCATTTAAGCACATCGGATATCAATGTATTCTACTACATGAAGATCTTATATAGCAATATTTCAATGGCAAAACCAAAGTAAGGACCTTCATCTTCGGAGGCTGGGCGGGGAAATTTTTTTAACTTTGCTGGGGGGGGAAAAATCACCAAAATCAGAATTTTGTTTTCTGCCAATTCGTTTAAAACTGGCACGGACTTGGCAATTCATCACTATGGCAGTATTTATTAATTTAGCTAACAGAAATATCAACTTTTCTTAGTATTGTCATATGCAAATAATTCTCATGGATCTTCTCTCTGCCCACCCCACACCCCTTCCTAATCTGCATACAACCCAGTAACTGGTAGGCCCCACCAGGTGTTACAAAGCTTCTGCTCCACTTTGGGAAGTCTCTAGTTCAGTGTTTTGTAACCTTGGAAACTTTAAGACGTATGGACTTCAATTCCCAGAATTCCCGAGCCAATTGAAATCTGGAAATTGAAATCCACACATCTCAAAAGTTGCCAAGGTTGTGGAACGTTGCTTTATCGTCTATAATGATGCAGCAGTCAACAATTATTTGTTCAGATCCCCTATATGTGGCCAATCTAACTAAACAGAAACTGAACGCCAGGCCAGCTCCGCAGAAAAGCTACGGATTAACTATTCATTTCAAGCCTTCACAACTTTTTGTAAGTGTGCATGGGTAGAAAATTTTAAGAAGCACAAGGTAAATTAATTTTAAAAAGTAGGCTCAACAGAATACAACTTTTCAAGGACATGTACTAGGACTGACAAGGGCAAAGTTTCACTTTTAGGTGTAGGGTTTCTTTAAACCAAAAAAGGAAATTAGAGGAGAAATTGAGAAAAAATGTTCAATTTCATCGGTTTTATGGAAGCAGCAAAAGGCGCCCTTGAACGCTTGCAACTTTAATAAGCTTCAAGGGTGTCCACAAATGCTCTTGCTTCGTGTGTACAAGACTTTTTTTTTTTTTTTTAAGAATGTCAACGAATCAGAGGGTGCAAATCCAGATTTTATGGAAAGGCTCAGTGTGAAACAGGAGTCAACCAAAGTTCTTTTAAGCATGTCTTCATTGAAATTTAAGGATTTGACTGTATCTTTTGCTGCTGCAGGTTTATATATGGGTGTCTTCCTTTTGGCTTGAGCTATTTCTATACACAGGTTTTTGATGATGTTGTTGTTTAATTTGCAGGGGCCTCTACTGTTAGGAAAGGAATATATGTACAAGGGTTTTTCAAAGCAAGAATTACCTGTGCATGACAAGCCCGAATCGAGAGTGGACCTTCATTATATCTCAGGAGAGAAAACCATTTTTCTTCTAATTAGCCAACCTGCTTCCTACTAGAAGAATGGATATTGTCACTTAAAAGCAATTGTTGTGCTAACTCAGGTTTAGATTGATTAGCTCTTCCAACGAAAATGTATAAATACTAAGGCAGACACTACAAACACAATGAAAAAGACACCTTATGTAAGCTAAATATTATCCTCAGGTACTGCACCCTATTTGTTTTCCAACTGGGAATTCCCTGGAAGGCAGCCTATTTAACAAAAAAGAGTTCAACAGATGTCAAGAACTGGATATTGGTTTACATCCAAATTCTACAAAAAGGAACATACAATGAAAATACATAAATTCGTAAATGCGAGGTACCATACAATTCACACTAATTTACAAATGGTTATTTACACTATTATATATACACAGTCAGACCCGGTTACCATAAATTGATTAGCTAATCCTACAAAATTCACATTAAGAATTCCCAGGCCGAAAGTTCAAAACAATGCCAATTTTCTTTTAAATCCCCCACCATTATGCCAAAGAAGCTTTGAATGTCTGAATCCATCAGGTAGAGGTTGATGAACCTGGTCTGATTGCCAGTGTGATGAAAAATTCACGCATTTCTGCTTTACAAAAGCTACTAGGCCACTATGGTCTGTAGGCTTATGTTTACAGGGTTGAATGCTGTTTCTAGTAACTCCTTATTTTCACTACAATGTCACTAGTGGTGGCATTAAAATCTTTACCTTCAAAGTACAGGCAACAGATTAGCTTGTTGCCAAGTCACAGCCAGAATTACCTGAGGTTGTTTTCTAGAGCTCTGGAAAATAAAAGAGTCAAGTACTTGAAAAATGAGAGCAAGCTGGAAAGTGTGACAAAGCCATCTCAAAAATCCAACAAAACAAGAATAAAACAGCAGAGAGAGCAGAAAACGACAGTTCTGAAATAACAAAATATAACTATATTAAGCTACATGTACTACTCTTCAAGGTAAATGGACATTTTCTCTTAAGATGATTTAAAACCACTAATTATTTTTATACATCTTTTTATGTATTCAGAAACACACTGTGCTGGAATATGTTCAATCTAGCACAATTCTGGCAAAAATGGAGACATGATTGAAATCCAGCCACTTTGGAGACTAAGCCAAAATACATCTCTTCTAAAGAGCTCATTATTTTTTTTAAAAAAAGAAAAAAACTTTTAATTGGTTCATATTAAGCTCAGTAGAAATGAAATAAAAGTTTATCAATATTTGCAGATCCATCCAGTGATCGTGGTGGCACATTCTTCTCTATCCAGCTTAACAGAGCAGCTGAACCATCATACTTTGGATATCATTTTTTTTTTATGTAACAGAAAAGAAGGAAGATGATAACAATCATTATAATGATGAACTAAAATAACCTTTCCAAGTATTACTAAGCCTTAAGCCTTGCCAGGATAGGGGAAAAAAAAAAACTAGCTTTAAAAGTAACGTTTACTTTTTCAAACATTCTATAAAGGTTTAATTCAGAGAGTATTTTGAGCAAAGCAGTTCCAGGCTTCTGAAAATCAAAGCTTTCCGTAACTTAATTCCGCCTAATTCCTAAGGGCCTCACTGTAAGATGGCATTAAAGAATACCTAAAATGAATACAAAGACAAAAAAAAAGGAGTTGTTTTCTTATTTTCTAGAGCTCGAGCAACACCCTTTACCCGATAGATTACAAATTTCCTTTAATAATTGGCTCAACACTGATCATCAAGAGAAGCTGCCCAATTTATGTACAACTGTGGTAAGAGCTGAAATGTATCTTAAAAGTAAAACTACCCTTCTCCATATGAAAGCTTTAAGCATGAGTAGAATATAATTCCTGTTACCATCCAGATAACCTGAAGCTCAGAACTAACTACGCAGTTATGTTCATCACATCCATACAGCACCACATTTGGGGGGGGGGGGGGGGAACTGACCACAGAGTACAGATTCTACCCTAGTTTTTCTAAACTAATTTCATTGCTGAATAGTGGGACATTTGAGGTACCGCTATTCTAATTTGGGGCATTTGAGGAGTGTGGTTTTAGAGATTATCTCAAAATGTATCTTGTCATGTTTTTATTTCTGTAAACAGAAGTTGTCAGTGACTTTGGGTTAACATTTTTATTCCTTATCCTACATTAAATCAAGTCAGTTTTATTTTTATAGCCAATGTTTATTTTAGAGTTCTTTAAAATATTTCTGAATAAATATTTTTTACTGAGTCTGGGCAACAGATTCCCCACTTCATCACTTTTTAAGGTATATCTGCCTTTACACATAATGCATATGAACACATAGACTTTGCGTATATGGGCACTTAAGTGACCAAAAGGGACAACAAAAAATAAGACCAACAGAAACTGTTACTGAACTTCATAGCGCAACTTTCAAAAGTATAAAGCAACTTCCCCATTCTTAAACACACGTACTCTCACACGTACGCTAGCTAAGTAAACATTGTGTTTCACATTTCACATTTTTTGAAATTTAAACCATTCTTGAGAGGATGGCTTTTGAAAAAGAAGACTCAAATGTCCGTGACCAATTCTCGTTTTTCAAATGCCACTACCGTTTTACTAAAGAAAGGAGGACGAAGAAGGTGGAACCAAGACAAGTCAACGAAGAAAATTATGAGCCCTCCCCAAGCCTAAAGAAATACAAATTAAGTGGTACACTTTTGCTCCCAATTATTACAGGACTGCTCAACAAAAAACCCTGTTGGTTTTTACTACAGTATTTATCAAAGATTTAAGAAGAAGGAAAAAAAAAAACTTGTTAGGGAGGAAAATACACGACACCTGGACGAGTAGTCATTTAAAGCTTACATTTCAGGGTCAGATCCCTCTTCAAATTTAAAAGCCAAGAGAAAGTGGGTATCATTTCCTTAACTGATTTTGTGAGCAGGCCTCCACAAAATGTTTGCTTTTACTATATACAAGAACGGTCATTTCCCCCCCCCTCCCCAGACAGTAGCTTGTTAGAGCTGAGAGAAACAAGAGAATGAAAATTATTTTGTTCCACCCTGATATAATCTCCAGTCAGCATTAGTGGCTTAACTTGAGTTACAAACTGGGATCTGTTTATGGTGTAGATTCCATGTAGTTTACGGTTAAACAACTGAATGCTGGAGCAATTTGAGATGTTAAAAAAAAGTTTACAGGATGATCGCCTGCACCCTTCTCCCTTAAGGAGAACCAATAAACAGCAGCAATGGAATGTTAATAAACTCATAATAAATAATTCGTGTCTCACATTTCAAAAAGCAAAAATACAAAAAAGGATTAAATTGGCTCGCCTTGTGTTTCAGAAATCCATTAGAGCTTCTAATCCTTCCACAATATCAGAAAAGACCTTCATTTGAAGTTTACCATTGAAAGATTGTTATTTAGAGGTAATGAAAAGCAAAAAAAAAAGAAGAAGAAGAGGAAGGAATAATACAAATGTAGAGCTGTTCCTATTATGTACTCATGACAAAAACAGTAAGGAATCTTCTCAACAGGCGGATAACCAAGTTCTCAAATTCTACTCAGGAAGTTTTAATGCCATTACTTCATTCTTCATTTTGAAGTACTGATTGAAGCGAACAACTGCATACCTGCGTGAGCAAACAAAAGCATTTGGTGAAATATGATTTGGGGTACAGTTTTCCATCAATCATAATAACATTTAACTTTTATGCTCACTTATTTTTAGTGTTTCCTGCCATCTAGTGGTTATGTGATGTTTCTGTAAAAATTGTCACAGAGATATGCAGATAGCTTTTCCATCTTTTTTTAAAAATATGTTGGCCAGATTATTATAATATGGATGGTAGATTAAGGTTATATTTCTACAGACATTTCACTCAGTCACGGGTCAAATTGGTTAGCAAATCTCACCCATTCAGCATTTATGTTTTGATTTCATATAGCCAAAAATATTAGTACTATACATTTTTAACTGGCATTTATAACCAGCATGCTTACCAAGCCTTAATAAGGTTAGGATTATGGTTCCAGTAAGCATGGCATATATCTGGGGCTATATTTTGGGACTTCAATTCCCATGTCACTTCAGCTAATGTGGCACATAATCGTGCTGGCTGGGGTATTATGGGAATTGAAATAACATATCTAAGGGATACCTGGTTAGGAAACGTTGATGCACTGGATTTACGGGGGGGGGGGGGGGGGGGGGGGGAGCATGAACATTGGACACTTCCTGCATTCTCGCTCTTTAATCTATTTAAATTAATTTAATTCACAATGATTTAAATTAGGCTCCACTTATTGTTATTATTATTTATTATTATTATTACTTTAATTTATACCCCGCCCTTCTCCCGAAGGACTCAGGGCGGCTTACAGGCAAATAAAAAACGAAACTATACAATAAATATCTAAAAACAATTAAAATATATATTAAATTAGCCTGTTATTTTTAGAAAAGTTATAAAATCCCTATTAAAATCCCTATACAATCCCCCCCCTA